TAAGTGGGAGAACTTGCACAATTGGTGGCTGACTAAATACTTTTTTGCCCCACTGTATGGGTATATCAAGGTTTGCCCATGTAAGACTACTACTACTTCACCGGCTGCCAGTTAGTTTCTAGGTGCAATTCAAGGTCCTCAGAGTTCCAGACGTCACAGCATCCCTGCAGTCATGTGATCTGGGCGCCCAGGTTGTGATTACAATGCTGCACCAAGCCACGGTCATGTGACTGTGATTTCTGATGTTCCCTGCCAGCTTCTCACAAGCAAAGGTCAATGGGGAAGCCAGCAGGAAGTTGGAAATTGCTGTCATGTGAGGTCTTTGCTTAAGAACCCACATGGTTTTTGCTTAACTATGGCAACCAAGACTGCTGGAACTGCCCTCACTAAGTGGTGTAGTCATGTGACGTTGTACTTTACAACCAGGTCAGTTAGCGGTGGCAATTCCAGTCCCAATTGCTGTCATAAACTGAGGACTACCTGTAATAACTTTAAAAAATAAAATAAAAGGGGGTGTGGTTATCTAAATATTGACTCTGGAAATAAATTAGAGAGATTTCTTATGTGTATTTCAGCCAAGCACTTAAACATGTGCTCATTACAAACTTATTACAAAACACTGAGTTTTTGATAAACAAAAGATGCAAGAAAAATCTGTTACTCTGACAAAATTGCCTATTTCTCTAGAAACGATCTTGCCAAATTTTTCTATTTTAACATGTAAATGAAAGCTAGTGATTGCAATATGAACTGTCACAGATTTCATGTTTCAAAAGGTTAAGTATTTAAATATACCTTTGTCTATGCAATTAAGTATCTAATTAGGTTTAGAGAGCAAAACTAAGAGATTTAGCTATCATGTTGAATGTATCTACTAATGCCCATCTAAAAGATGAAATAAGTGCATATTTAAATTCTCTCCATAAACCGCAATTTAAAAGAAATAACAGTAGATGAATATATTTAACATATATCTGCATATTACTGGAATTTGTAACTTTAGACAGCTTTATTAGATTACAGTTATTAAAAAAAAAAGAATGAACCAACAACTATCTTGTGAAAGTTGGTTTGCTGCAGATACTTACTTTGCTTACTTGTTTTAGTGGGTATTGTTAGTTCTTTTGTTTCCTTCATTGAGATCTTCTTTCCTGCTATTTCATTATAGATAGCTGACAGATATTCTTCAGGGAGATCCTTACTATCATTGATACCTCTGTTCATTTTAATATATTGTTCTTTGGTCATTTTATTCTTTACCTAAAAATTAGGAGTAACATTCAGGTATTATAGGTGAAAGCAAAAGTTTGGTACTCATTAAACTAAAATTCATGAATGCTAATCAGAATCTACTAAAAGATAAATCTAGTTTGAGATGAATTTGATCCAAAGAAGGATGGTAGCTAATCTACACATTTCAGTATCTTTTTTATTTATCACATACTGCCATTATTTTTAGCCTCATTATCCACATTACCATGAAAGTGGCTATCAAATTAGTATGTTTATGGCAGTACCCATATCTGTTTAGAGAGTATTTAAGGACATTTTGATTCAATCTGGACAAAACGTTTCTATTAGTGAAGTTGTCATCTACCATCTGCATTGCGTTTAAACTGCTCTGCACAGTCCTTTAGAGAATCTCTTAAGAATTGGGATTTTAGTTTTGAAGTGCTATTGAATATAAACTGCATAACTGGTCTCTAGGCTAAAAAAACTTTTTTCAGCTGATATACCAATTGCAACTGAGTAGAGACAGTCTTGCTAGTTACATATACTCTTGGATATCTCACAGCTGGGTTAGGATACCCAGGGCTGGAGATGATATTCTGCCTGTTCTCTGAGGTTTGTACTAGTTTCCAGTCTATTTCTGAATATTACTTTAATCTGTTTGTACTTCTAGTTTTCTAAAGCTTGGAGACAGGTTATATATATAGAGAGAGAGATTCCTTTCTCTTATATACTGTCTTACCTGGACCTGAAATCATTTTCAGAGGCCAGAAGTTCCTGCTGAATGAGAGCAGGAAAAGCTACCAGTAAGGATCCTTCTCAGTCCTGATGCCCTGGTTAAAGAATTCTCTCCCCCAGAGATTTGCCTTGCAATCCTGTTGTGATCTTTTTGATACCAGCTGAATACTTCATTCTTCTTCCAGACTTTTTATTCTTTCATTTTTAAAAATATTTTATGCTTTTTATATCTTGGCAATTTTGGTGTCCTCCTCTGTTCATTTTATTTTGATTTTACTCTGTTTTACATTTTTTAATTATTTAGGAATTTTGGACATTCACCTTTAATTTTGTGAAGTGCCATAAGAAGTTACTGGGCAATATAGAAATGTAATGAATAAATAAATATTATGGTAGCATCAGTTTATCTAGGTACTATATTAATTTTGGTTTTCTTCTTTTAGGAGGACTTAGAATGAAGTTTTCCATTATTTTCTACCTAGTTCTCTGTTTCTGACAATCTACTTAGAATTTGTAGATAAAAATAATGAAAAGAACAGGTAATTGAAAATAAAGAAAATAGGTCTGAAACCCAGAAGTAAAAGTTATTTGCTACTGAAAATGAGCACCAATTAAAGGGGGACAAAATGGCATAAGACACAACACAAATACTTGTCTATAGGTAGTATTAATGACCAAGTGGAAAGAAAAGCAAAGCAACTGTAATGTCTATACATTCAATTCTTCATTAGAAAGGCATTTTAAGAGGTGTATGTAACATACCTGTGGGCTATGGAGATCTGTTGTCAACATAATAATTGAATAAGCCAAGACATATGCAGTGTCTGCACTAGCGAAGAGAGTTTGCCTGTAACAAATCAGGGCAGAAAGAGAGAAAGAGAGAGAGAGAGAAAGAGAGAGAGAGAGAGAGAGAGAGAAACATTTTTTCCCATTATCTGGTTTTAAGAAACATTTTTCCCATTATCTGGTTTTTAAAAAATAGAAGTAAGAGAAAAATGCTCACCCTTGATTACACTCCAAGTATCTAGCAGCAAATTTCTCCATTAATCTATCAATTTTCTGAGCCTCTCCTGGAAGACGGAAGCCTTCCAAAAACATGCGCAGAGCAGAAACAAAATCCTTTGCAGAAAAGTCATGCTGATCCACATAAGCATACATAACTTCCTTATTAAATTTATCATTGTCTCCTAGGAACTCTCCAACTTGAGTCTAAAATGAAATGAAAATAGTGAATTCCAGATAGCCATAACAAGGAGCATATCACTGTATTTTTTTTACTGTGAGGGCTTCCATTCTGTGAGCCACTGCACATATTTGAGAGTACTAGGCTCTGCCAGCTAATTGATTTACAAACTTCTAGTTCTGAAATTTAAAATCCTAGAGAAATCAAGTTCATATATCTCAAGAGATCTTCCCATAATACTACCTATCTTTAACTCATTCCTTATCTCAATGCAAATAAAACTTTTTTGTTCCAAAGAAGGATTGTAGATCACTATATGAACAAAATTTGAATTCTGTGCTGATCATTCTGATTCTGTTAGTCAGGAAAAGAAGAAACAAGTTTTAACTAAGGACACTGAAGGACACTCAACCTCCTCTCTGGGTCCTGAAATGTCAGGAGACATTGTCACACATATTTAAACCTTACAGATTTAAATGCAGAGACTTATTTTTCAAAAGGAAAGAAAAATGTTAAATCAAACTACCGCCATGATTTTCTGTTTCAAATATAGAATATATAAATCTTAAGTGTGTGACCGTTCAGGTTCCATATTATTTCTTCAGTTACGAATTCTGATTCCAGAAACATAGCAGAATAGAAGACAGCATATCATCAAAAAGTAGGCTATTGTTTTTGACAAAAAGAACATTGCAGTTAATACTATTTAATGTACTACTTTCGAAAGAATGGTTGCTATCTCTCCCTCTCAAGTGTCCTGCGTTATTTGGAATAGCTACCTAGAAAGGGGAAACAAATTTGTTAAATAATACAATAAAAAGAGGCAACTTTTATTCATATAGAATCCCTTAAAAACAGAAAAACGAATGCATGTTTCACACAGCCAATAAGCTTCTTTTCCCTATATGGCAGAATGCTTTTATAATTCAGAGGAGGTTTCAAAGAAGAGGACATTTAGCATAGGACATTGCTTCAATTTGTTCAGTCACAAATCCCTCTGAATAAATGGTGCCCTCAGGTATACCTGCATAAATTCTTTGAATTACAGCAATAAGCCAATCATTGGAATCTAAGATTACTAAGATGGTAATTATGTGTATAAAATATTAAATATATTGAAAATCAGCTAGTTTTCTTACAGAGTCTAATCTTTCTTCTTGATGCAAGAACTGGGCAATATCTTCAGAAGTAATACCAAGCATCCCTTGTTCTTGTAGATACTGAATTCCTCTCTTTGGCTTCTTATTAAATCTGCATTTAGAATGTTAATTAAGCAATGGAAATCACTTATACAAAACATACATTTGCATATCAAAGGAGCATTCAGAATAGTATAATTATTTTAAAAACAGTATAAATATTAAATTACTCTTGCTCTTGCATCCCAAAGGGTACCTTTGTGATAATGGCAGTTTCCATTTTTCTTATTGTTAAAAATTTTGAATATATTTGGGAGGGATGATTTACATGAAGGACATGACAGATGAGAAATGTATAGAGCTTCATAGAGAATTTTAATGCCAAACTAAAACTTTTCCATCATAGCATGCTTTGATGTTTTTTTATTGTTTCCCTACTGCACAGGATCAAATACAATAGCGCTTAAAATACTTGCATAGCCAAAAAATAATCACCAGAAAGGACGATGATTTAACCCAATTTGGTTTGCTCTACAAGGGGTTACCCTTGAAGATGATCCATAAGCTGCAATTAATATAGTGTGACAACTAACTATAACCATGTAATACTGATCCTTAAAATGTTTATTTGGATGCCTAAGAGCTGCAGGGCCCAGTTCAAAATGCTGACATTAATTGATAAAGCTCCAAATGAATTAACTCACAATTTTTTAGAACAGTGCTTCCCCTATATCTAAGCCATGCATTAAGATCAGCTGGGGAAGGGGACACTACTCTTAGTCACCAAAATTAATCTGGTTTGATCAGTGTTTGTGGTAGCTAGGAGTAGAATATTCTCAGTGGTGATGCCCCAACTGGGCCACTCTCTGCCAGGAAAAATACAGCTGACCTTCAGGCTGTCTAGTTTTTGTAACAACTTAAGAAACTTTTCACTTAGGCATCTCTAGAGTAAGAACTGCTCTAAAATCAGACTGTCATTTAGATTAATTTTTTTATTACTTAATTTCTATTGCTTTGTCTTGTTTTACTGATTAATTTATAAAAATAAACACCCACTGTTAACAAACAATCACGCTACTTGACTACTACAATTAAACTGAGGTGAGTATAGTCCCCAAGTATAGTGTCTTTGACTGGGTTCACACTGATTTATATCTTCCCTCTTTATTTTCTCCAGGGCTCAATGTCTCCACCTTCACAAACAAAACCTCATACTGGAAACATATGGGGCAGAAAAGTGCGGCAAAATTATTTTTCTCCCAGGGGAATAATATGATTGGACTATATATCCCTTTATTTCTAGTTCAAAATAGGCCTCTGTGCAATTATAGTATGCAATGTATACTATCATTGTTTATGTTTCCTATAAATATTAACTGAAGACCAGAAGAGCATCACTTCCAGATTTAGACTTGAAATCTAACATCACTGTATTAGCGAAAAAGGTTGTGGAATTCTGCAGAATTTAATTTATTATTAATTTTATTGATTCAAGAAAGTATATTTCAAAGGGCTACAATCTAGACTTGTTGGAAGCACTTGAAAGATTTTTACAGATTCCTCTTTCTCCCTTTTAGCTCTCTATCTAACTTGCCCAAATCTACTCTAGAAGATCTTTCAACCACCCAAAAAGCAATGGATGATTTTAATTAATGAAAATTAATTATTCTAGCACAAAAGCAAACATGTGGGTCTAAAGGCAGATTAAGTGACTAGGCAGGCAAAACAGCATGTACCCTCCTTCAAACATACACATACAAAAAATCCACCCACTGTTCAAAATGGTTTCCTATGCATTGTCTAGAGCAGTGGTTCCCAACCTTTTCTATGTCCCACACCCCTAGAAAATGTTTGATTAATGTTTGCACCCTCTACAAAAGTAACCTACATTTGAATAAGTCTAATTTCTAATGCGGGTGAACAAATTGAACTTAAAAAAATAAGCTTTTAACTCAGTGCATTAAATTGTCACACCCCCTGAAATTCCATCTTGTACCCCCTGGGGGTGCGGGCACCCCAGGTTGGGAATCCCTGGTCTAGAGAGAGAAACAGAGCAGTTCTGAAGTCTTACTAAGAAAACAGCAACCTCAGTGAAAGAGGTGAATCATTGTTTCTGCAACTTTTAACAGCAAAAAAAAAACAAACAAACAAAAAAACAGTTTTAACTCTTTCAACTGAGATTATAGGCAAGTTTTGTGGCTTGCAATTTTATCCCAGGAAAATGGTTTGAAATCTTTGGCATTTGCTGCTTAGTTGCAGAGATTTTGTTTTCTCTTTACTGGCTCTGTGTTCTCCCTACCTTATTCTTCCTCCCTCTTCCTTCCTAATAGCCATTACTCTCAACTGTGTTACCCCCTTCACTACTTTGCTCCCACTGACAATGGTCTACCTTCTTTCTCATACAGGCAAGAGATGCACTTACAGACTGCAGTTGCATTAGAGTTTATTTCTTAAGTCTAGCAAACAAGCTGAACCACTTAGCTGCTGCCTTGGGGCATACAGCTAAGGAAATAAACTTTAGTAAATTTTAAAATGGCATGCAGAGTTTTCTTTGGCATTCTGTAGCTTGTTGGGAGCATGGGTGAGAGCCTTGATTGCATGGTTACATGTCACATTTGCAATGCTCCCTGCAGGAATCATATTATTGAATCAGGATCTTTGGATTGTCTTCTAAGTGGAACTCTAGTAATGGGAAGTCTGTGTTACACCATTTCACAGTCCTTGTAGTGTTAAAGTTTAAGAAAATGAAGTTTATTTTTAAGATTAGTATTGTGGTATTCTGCCAAGATATTTAAAAGTAGCAAAATAAAGAAGAGATTGCAGAAAAAAAACAGAAAGTTCTGAAAGTTCATCATACAATGAAAAAAATAAAACATACAAATCTATTCCTTGTTCTATTATTTCTTTCTGCTGCTTTAGAACCTCAAATTGCTCTGGATTGTCTGTACCAGACATCTGAGTGCTGTAGCTACCAATTCCAGAGGAGGCTGTAGAGTCTAAAGAATTTAAGCTCCCATATCTGTTAATTGTCTCAGGATGTTTGGTTTCAGTACTTTCTTGCTCAGTGGGTTTTTCCTGTCCTGTTCAAGAGAAGTAAAATAAAATTATGTTTTAAAGTGTACGTATTGGCTAACAGCACACTAAATTTTATTAGTACTAATGTTAAATATATGTGAAGTAAAAGATTTTGAACAAGTTGCATAGTTCTGATAGCATACTGTAAATTGACATTCAACATTTTGCACAAGGTATACAAAATAAATCATAAAGTATATTAACTATATTCATATTATTTAAAGCAGAGGTTTTCAAACTTTTTCAGGCCATAGTTAAAAAAAATTCCTGGAATCCCTGATTAAGAGGGAAAGTTCTAGTGATAGAAAATCGGCTGTGAACTTTTTTCCCCTTGGTCTCTTGTGGAACCCCATCAAGTTCTTGTGGAATCCTAGGGTTCTGTGGAACACAGTTTGAAAAACTCTGGTTTAAAACATTGCATAGGATTGTGCACAAGCTTGCAGAATGCTATCATCAATAATTTATTCTACAGCTGTACCTCTAGATGAAGGAGTAGCATATTTACAGACTATACAAAAGCACCATAAAATAATCTTGCAGAACTAATAATTTACTTATTTCAGCAAAGTAAGATGGAAATCCTAGGAAACAGTTCATTTACGGTCAACAAGTCACTATAATAAATGAAGTAACAGTTTACCTAATGTTGTTTGAGAGTTGGGATTTACATATTGATCCTTACTCCATTCCACCATGCACTTCAATATTGATACTAAGCATTCAAGACCCTTCTTTCTCAAACTTAGTTCCTGTAAGAAGTTGTGTTTATAAAATATTAAGATTGTTAGTAATTTTTAATAATTATTAAATTTTACAACTGGAAAATATGGCAAGGTTCCTACCTGAATGTTGGTCATGCCAAGTTCTTGGCTGCCTCTTCCTTGAGCAATTTTAGATAGATCATTAACTAGTCTTTCAAATATATTTGCAGCATTTAAATCACAGTCATAATTTACATAAATGTCTACTACACTCTGGGCATCTGTAAAGAAAACAGAATTTACATTGAAGTGCTTTTATCATGTACAGAGATATGCATAATACTGAAAATCCTCAAGCAAGCAAGATATCTGAACAGCCATGCTACAGCCTATAACATGCCCAATGGAGTAATACCTGCGCATATCCGTGTCAGTGTTTGAATAACCATCCATTTATGATCAAAGGAGCTAGTAGAGGTTTCTAAAATATACAGAAAAATCTCTTTGAAGAAAACCTAGGAAAAATAGAGATGTTACCTGCTTATTTGAAAATTTTTGCCTTGTACATTAATACTTCCTTCTAACTCTCCATTATAAATCAACATCTGACATACAGAAAACTACCTATGAACCTTCCCCCAAGAGACAGCATAACTCATACACACACACACACACACACACACAGAGGCACCAACACCAGAACTTTATAATACTGCATGCTATTCTTCCTGGGAAGAATATAAACTGCTATTTAAGTTTACCTAGTTTCATAACTTTATAATTCTGTACAATGAAAATTATTCTATCAGAATAATAGGCAACCATGTGAGGTACAGTGATATTCTGATTCAAACAAATGATTCATACAGAAACTCCTAATTAGACATGGCCAAGGAGCATACAGAGTCTGATATTAAACAGTGTTTGGATTTACTTAAATAACTAATGTTCCACAATTCCATTCAATTGATTTTGATGTCTTGCTAAACAAAACTGAAGAAGGTACAATGAACATAAACCTACAAAATCTGGTTTAATAACAAAAATATATATGCCAAAGCTGCTTCATAAAAGAAAAAAGGATAAAGGTGGGGTGTATTTGCCAAATTCTCGTTCTCAGTTTCAAATTCAATGCAAAATTATACAAAAACTACCTCAGCATCTTTTTTTCCCCCCATTTAGGAAAAGATTCCTTGAATGATATTATGACAAGTTAAGATTATTTTCTACTGAGTTTTGCATTCTCATGGTGTATAATTTCTGGGAATTTGTATGTCAGTAATGGGATGGATCAGTTATAATTATTAAAACAACTGCTTTCAAGATACTATTCTGAACGGTGGACAGATCAATATAAAATTTTAGTGTCAATTATCTAAGTTTTTCTTGGCTGGAGTCCAAAGAACTACTTACATTTATGTAAAAAAGCTTGCACACCACTGATATTTAGACATATATAAATCACTTATATCACAAATTGTATTAAGAACTCCTTTCAATTTCAAAACAGCTTACTATGCTGAATAAGAAACTGTGATTTAAGAGAAATTTCACGGACCCACTTGATGACTTTTTAGAATATTTACATAAGGTTCCAAATAATTTTTATTTTTAGAATTTGTTCACAAAATCAAAACCTGACACTCTTCTCATTACTGTTGCTAAAGAAACTTAATGCACAACCTGCTACATAACTGAAGATACAGTACTGTTGTCTTCTGCTTTAACCATTTTTAATTGTTTACATTTGTATCTCACTTTCTCCAGAAAGAAAATGCAGAATACAAAATGTTTTATTTTATGGTTTACGACTGTATCAATTTAATAGAAAAATGCAAAAGTATAACAAATGGCCTCATCTAATGTTCCTGTGTTGGATTTCAAATCTGCACAGATTTCTACACAGAAACTTGCCATTATGCACCCTAGTATATGCTTTATCCATATAATCTAATATGTGGATGCAGACCAGTAGCACCAGATAAACCAATCTGTATATATGAAGACTCTAGCAAAATTTAAATTCAATATGGGAATTCAGGAGAAGAAAGAACAAAACAATTCTTCATTCTGAGTAGCTCTGAATGTTTGCCCAAGATAACATTTCTACTTACTGAATGCTATAGTTTATTGTTATTATGATTGTAGTAATTTGGGAATAGTTTATATTATTTAATATTGATTCAGGATAACGTTTTGAATATAAACAAGTCTAATCAATTGAAGATTAGATTAGATGTTCTTCTGAATTTTTTTCTATACTTCAGGCATTTCAGTTGATAAGCCATGTCAAAGGGATGTCATTTACAGTACATTAAGTACACTATTTAAATTACTAAATATACCTTACCTCAATCTGCATCTTTAAGTGTGTCTTAAAATTTGAAAGTAAAGTCAGGAATATCGAAAGAGAAAGTTCAAATACTTCTGGAACAGATGAGACTCCATTTTTAGACAGTGCTACACAAAGGTACTGTTTAATGGCATTAATAAACATTTCATTTGTCCTAAAAACAGGTCCTGCGTTTTGCAAAATAGATAGAAGCAACTGCAATGAAAGGATTTTTGACCGCAATTCATGAGACCTAGAAAGATATAATCACAGTATGAGAAACAATTTATGGAGAAATCTCTCTTTTTAAGAAATAAATTCCAAATTATCTAACCATTAGTGCAGAGCAGATAATAATAAACCATTCAATTAGCAAAAGAAATTAACTAGACAATAGCCATTACTGATAAACTATGACTGACTTAGCAGACATTCTTGTGTTCATTACTGTAGAGCATAATGCATTTTGTGCATAAAACATCAAATTAAGAATATAACTGTGACTCATATATACTAAGTGACATGAACATCCCTTTTTAAATAATTATATAAATACAATATTCCATATTAATATACTGCACTACACTGGAAATGGGAGGAGAATCAGCAGGCTATAACCACTGTTTATTCATATTTTTATTTCTTAAATATAGAAGAATGGTGCCAACCTACTTTGGGTCAGGTGGTCCATCTGACAAAGGCTTCATAGAGAGTTTACACAGTGACCTGAATACTAGAAAGGCATCCTTTTGTAAAATGTGGGAAAATTTAGCACCAGGTGTAGGTCCTGAAGAATTTCCAGATTCCTGAAGTTAAAATATTTTCATTTTCGGTTTATGTAATAAAAATACAATATAATAATTTTTACATGATAGAAAATAGGATATACAAAATTACAATGAAACTTTAACAGTATTTATAGACTGCCTTAACCCATATGGACTCTAAGCAGTGAACTGCAGTACAAAATATATTTCTAAAAATCATTTTTAGAAAAATAAGCATTTTTCCTACAATTGCATGTTTAATATTTTAGTTATTTTGTCAAAACCAGTCAGCATCACATATTTGTATAGTAATGATCAGACAGAAATTATGATGGCTTCCAGAGCCCTGAATTTAACAAATCAGAAGCCAGCCTTGCAATTACATAGTCCTCTACCTTGAAGATTTATCTTTTTCAGAATGAAAATTATTTTCTCCCTTCTTAAACATGACTAATGTTTTGTGGGATTGGTATTTCCAGTCAACTAACAATCGTTTTCTTAATTCATGGTCTGAAATGAGGTGAAAATGTGTTTCAGAACCCAGATTTTGTTTAAAAAAGAACTCTTTAGATAGCCTTGGCAATCACATTTAATATAGAAAAAAACTCAGCAACGCTAGGATGCTTGTTATTACTAATTAACTACTTTTGCAATAGTAAATATGCTTAATTTTTATCTGCATATATTTTAAGCTTCAATGCATTTGTCATAAACTAAACCTCTTCCATTTTATTCCAATTCCAATTCCACTATACACAATATTTTCCTTTTACAACACTATATGTATATGTATGCGATGCATTCCTGTATGCTTAATTATTTATATACACAGAGAAGCAGACACATGTAAGTGTAATAGGGTATAAAATCAGAGCCTTTAACTGAGTTCCACGCACATATGCAACTGTTAAAGGTAACACTTCATGCATCTCATGAACTGATTTTTAAAATATTCAGTCTTCTATTAAAATAAATCTGTTATAAGAATAGTATGAGCATTTCCCAAGGCATTGTTCTGCTTGTTAACTGTGCTAGTGCTATATCTGTTCTAAGAAGAAACCTGACAATTATCTATTCTAAAATGACCCTGAACACAGAGCATCTGTCATACTGATAATTTACTGATGGACAGAACCTTTATTTATTAGAAATTATATGCCTGCAGAATATGAACAGATTTTCAAACAATACAGGGAATGCATTTTACACATGTACCAAACAACTGTGAAAGCAAATATTTGTCAGTTATTATTGTAAAAGGCATTAGCTCCAGTGAAAACAACATCAATAGCCACACACTAGCAAAACATGACTGACAGAAAAGAGCAACCCTGCTAAATATATACATTTTAATATATGTTTTTAAATCAGTAAGCAGCAATGAATTTCATATAGAGCTTTAAATCCATGTGCAGAGCACAAAGGAAGTCATAAAAGTACAGAAATAGTTTAAGGAACAAATGTTCATTCATGCACATGAATCTTTTGAAACTGCTGTAAGAGTAAAAAAACATCAAAACTGTGCTGTTCTGCTACAATATCATATATAATATTGGCCCACAACATAAAAATAGTCTGTGTCCTATGTTTCTATTGATTCACATAAACAATTCCAAATCAAAGCACCTGCACAAAAGATGCTGCCTTATGCAAGCTTTGTTTGCATATTATACAAGCTATGTACATCAGTTGACTGTAAATATCCCCAAATCAATTTAAAACTATAGTTTCCCACATTTTCAAAATATATTGTATAATCATTAATTCTTGTACCTGAGTATCATTGGAAGAGACGGATAACCTGTCATCAGGTAACGATGGTGTATAAACAACAGAAATAGGTGTCCCGGGAATTCCATTTGCCTGGATATTTTCACTATCACTACCATCCTCTGAAGTACCTATTGGTCCATCAACCAGAACCTTTTCAGCAGATCTCTCACCAACATCTAAAAGAAGAAAAATCATGGCATTTAAAAGTAATTGGTTATACAATTAAAGTATACTGGGCTAATATTACAAACAAAACAATTCAATGTATATAGCCACAGATTGAGTTATCAGTGTGCTATTCTTGGTGCCATATCAGATTTTGTTCAGCATTCCTTTACAAATTAGTGTAAAGACAATAAACATTCTACATCAAAGTAATGACTGTTCACTAGGGCAACCAGAAGCATGACGATAAGAATCAAAATTTATTTAGCTATATCTGAAATATCAAGGCAAATTGTCTAAGACTATTTTATAATATTCTTCTGGTGAATAACAGTCAACTTGTAGATTATTCATAGAAGTTTTTACAATAAATGCTTAATAATGATTATAAATTATAATTAATCTCAATTCAGCAATATGGTTAATGAAAATGTGCTACCTCTTACTACTATGTTCACCATTTCCTGGACTATAGTCTGTACAACATCCTGAGCTGTTTCTTCACATTGATTATTTTCTCCATCATATGATCCTGCATCATTTTTAGTTAGAGCTACAAAACAAAAACAGAAAATGTATTATTCAAAATTATCAGGAGTCCAGTCTGGTCAATGTTATATTTCTAATCTATAAATGCTCTTTAAACACATTATTATTTTATGATTGTTCATAGCATTTATGAGCTTCTAGCAAATACATTTCAAAAAGAATTATGAAGTTCTTTTTAAAGGAAAATCATAACCCTAATATCAAGAGCTGCTGATAACTGTACGTAGTTTTTAGCCAACTGAAATTATTACTCCTTTTTATAGAAAAAGGCAACTCAATATGACACATGGTCCCCCTAACTCAATTTTATGTAGCCCCCAGAGCACCTCAAAATCACAGTAGTGAAATATAACAGCAAATATGCCAATTTTCAGCAGCATACCTATTGGCATTTTAATGCAAAATAGGATTGCTAAGCCTCTAAAAAACCTCCATTTTACTCCTTAAAATCACCTGAGCCCTTTCTCCAGAGACATCACAGGGCATACCACCTGCACCTTCAGAGGCAACAAACAAGCAAAAAACAAAGTGTAACTCCTAATTGGAAAAAAGATTGCCACCTCTATCTTAAGACAATATGGCAATAAGATGCCAACATGCCCTCTACCATCCCATTTTGATTAATCCATCCATTATTACTTTCTGCTGTTGCTTGGTCAGCTTCTGTTTGTTCATTTTCTGCACTGGAAATATCAGACCCATTTTCTCCTTCTGTATCTTCTTGAAGGCTTTTGTCCACATCATTTGTATGATGCTCCAAATCCCCTTCATGATCCTGGGATAACTGATCAACAGTCTCCTCTGAAAGATGCCTTAATTGAGGTGATTCAGGCTCATGATGGCTTAAAGGAGATTGCTGCAGATGCTGCTGCTGTCGATGTCTCTCTTTCTCCATCTGCTTGGCTTCCTGAAGCTATGAACAAATTGTATTTATTTGTACGCAAAAATAAAGCATGTTATTAATGAATACATGTTATATTTGATAAACATGATACTATTTTGCATACTTGGAGCCCCTTCAACAGTTACCACAGAGCTGTAATTTTATTGTGACACAAGAACAAAATTTAAATATATGAAGAATGCAATTAGGTTTATTTAATTATCTTAATTCAATACAATTTAGTTTTTGACCTGGATCTACCCACTTTATGATCACAGCTCTCAGCATACAAATTAAAACAAATTCTAAACTTACATTGTATACATGTTTTTCAGAGAAAGGACAATTCTTATCTTCCAAATAAACTCTCAGCGTACTATTTGGAAGATAAGAATTGTCCTTTCTCTGAAAAACAGTGTATGTGATGTAAATTTAGAACTTCTTTTAATTTTTCTCATGGTTCAATCATATTCAGAGCCAGTTAATTCTATTTATATATTTAATTATGAAATAATAGATCTTCTGACTATTTATTTATCTATATACTCTCACAAATGTGATTTTGGGTAGTGTACAGTAAAATCAAAACAATAAAAAACACATTTTAAAATAACGGTAAAAAACAAAAAACATACATATAATATGGGAGAGTGTTTAAAAACATATATATAATAAAACCATCTTGCAGGTTCCCTGTTCCTAAGGAATCCTCAGACTTGCTGGAAAAAACAGGTGTTGAGAGATCTCCGGAAGGCCAATAGGGTTGGGACTAATCTCACCTTGTGGGGGATGATGTTCCAAAGGGCAGGTGCTATGGCAGAAAAGGCTCGCCTCCTGGGCCCTGTTAGATGGAACTCCTTAGCAGATGGGACTGTAACATGGCCTTCCTGCCTACCCTGATGGGATGGGTAAATGAAATCGGGAAGAGGCAGTCCCTCAAATATCCTGGCTCCATGCTATGTAGGGCTTTAAATGTTGTTCCCTGTCCAGACCCGCACAGCCTCCAGGCACCAGGACAAGATATCAGCGGAATCATTTAGTTCACCAGGGGTGGAGATGTACAATTGAGTATCATCAGCATACTGCTGTACCTCACCCAACAGCTTCATGTTGATGTTAAACAGGGGTGGAGAAAGTACCAAACCCTGTGAACCCCACATAGCAGGGGTCAAAGATGGGATCTCTCACTCCCAATCAACACCAACTGGTACCAGCCCTGCAGGAAGGAAGAGAACCAACACAATACAGTGCTACTGATTCCCACTCCATGGAGCTGTTCCAGAAGGATACCATGGTTGATGGTATCAAAGGCTGCCAAGAGGTTAAGTAGAGCAAGGATGGATGCACTAACTCCATCCTGCTCCCACCACATATCCAAAAGCATGACCAGTCCTGTTTCCATCCTGTATCCAGGCCTGGATCCTGAATGAAAGGGATCCAGATAATCTGCTGAAGTTGCTGCATGACCATCTTCTCCACAACTTTCCCTAAAAAAGGCGACACTGGATGAAAATTTTCCAGTATGGTAGGTTCTAGCAATGGCTTCTTGAGGAGGGGGCGAACGAGTGCCTCCTTAAGAGGCAGAGGAACAACCCCCTCTTTCAAGGAAGAATTCACCACCACTAGAACCCATTCACACATCACCCCCTTAGGGCAGCCTTTGCTAACCAGGAGGGGCATGGATCTAAAGAGTAGGTGGTCAAGCTTACAGTCATAAGGACCCTGTTCACTTCCTCAGGCCCAATCCTTTAGTTCCTCAATGATTTTGGTATGAAACAAAAGAAAGTAACATCTGGCAAATGGGTATTCAGTTATTTTAAGGTCAAAGCCAAAAGTCAGAACATTTTTGGTAAGATTGGATTTCTTCATATTTGGTCAAATGATTTCCAATGTTTTTGGAAAGGCTTGTTCCAACATTGAAACACTCCTAGTAGGGTTAGAATGGGATGTTTCAGAGTTGGAACATTTCTCCCTTATACCCCTTGCACAATTCATTTGGCAAACCAAATCTAAATGCTTGCTGTTTCTAGAGCTGAAAGAGGCATTTGGAACAACTCTTTATACTGATAGAAAGATACTTACTGCTTGGTTTTCCATACGTGCAAATATTACATTCAACATTTGTGTGAGAGTGGCCTTGGCTGTGGTTTGATTTATGAGATTCTTGCTTGCAAGGTAGATATTGTAGCATGTTCTTACAGCTTGCAACACGGTCCCTTCATGTATCTCTATGTGTTGAGATGTTACTGCTGTTAGTAGAGCCTAAAAATACATTATATTTATTTACAAAGTTAGAGCTACAAGTATTAACTCAGAAATCTTGTACATTTCCCCGGTCTTTTAGGTGTAATTATCACCTGCTCAAATTCATGAATATACTGTGTAATGGTGATCCATATACGTACATGCATAAAGTATAGAGTTAATATGCCAGTATATTATGTATTCCAATCTGCAGGCACAAAAAGTTTTAAAGTAGATAGGAGCTCCGTAGAAATGTTTTGTTTACCAAAGTCTGTAATGCATTTAAATCAAGCTTTGTACACGTGGTAATATACCTCATCCTTTTCCTATGAACACATCTAAGTTATAGAATTTATACTGAATTATTTTATTTGCCCTCAGAGTCGGTATTAAGATTCCAGGACATGTAATCTGATGTAAATATACATTATTATACTCAGGTCATGTCCAGGTTGAAATCAGTATTAACCCATGTGAATCCTTATAAACAACAATAACCCTATAGGATTTGATCAAGGCTATAAACTGGGAAGTAAAGATCTGGTGCACAAATGTCATATTCAGTTAAGATCCCAAGAGTATTAGAGGATTTAATTAAAGGTCTGTCAGATTATTTTTTAAAAAGTTAAAGAAGAATGCATTTGTTGAATTACAGTACAATGGAGGAATTTGATTGTGCTATAAAGGAAACCCATTTCTGCAAACTGGTTAGATTTAGAACAGGTGGTTATACACCTCTCACTGAAGTTAAGAATCCTTTGGAGGAATGAATTTCACATTTCAGTAAAATCATTGATACAATATGGAAAGTCAGTGGGTCAGTAAGTAAACATTTAATGACCTTTTTAAATCAATGTACTTCAGGAGTGCCAGTTTAACGAGGGTCCATATGAAGATATGATCATAAGAGACTATTTATCCTAGCCTGAACTGGGGGCACTAGAGATAGGTAACTTTGTGGGGTGCCTCAGGGTTCAGTGCTTTTGCCACTCCTATTTAACATCTACATGAAACCGTTGGGTAAGATCATTCAGCACCATGGGATGAGGTATCATCAGTATGCTGATGATACTAAACTATATATCTCCATCCCAGGTGACCTAAGGGATGCTGTGGCTACCCTTTCGGGGTGCCTGGAGGCTGTAGGTGCCTGGATGGGGGACAACAGGCTTCAACTGAATCTCGGTAAGACAGAGTGGCTATGGTACGGGGAACCTCAAGATCTAGGAGTTTATCATCTTTGGTTCTTGATGGGGTTGCGCTACCCCAGACAGATCTGGTGCATAATCTGGGGGTCTTCCTAGACTCATGACTCTTGTTCGAAGAGCAGGTGGCAGTTGTGCTAGGAGGGCCTTTGCACAACTTTGTGTTGTGCATCAGTTATGCCCCTTCCTGGATCAGAAGGCTCTCCACATGGTCACTCGTGCCCTGCTCACCTCCTGGTTGGATTACTGCAATGCACTCTACATGGGGCTACCCTTGAAGAGTATCTGGAAACTACAGCTGGCACAAAATGCAGCACTGCGGACAGTTTTGAATGCTCCCAGGGGAGCACATCCGTTAGGCGAGTTGCATTGGTTGCCAGTTTGCTTCTGGATCCATTTCAAGGTGTTGGTTATTACCTTTAAAGCCGTTCATGGCACAGGACCAGGTTAGGCACAGGACCAGGACCATGGCACAGGATCGGGTTTGCTTCCGGATCCAGTTCAAGGTGTTGGTTATTACCTTTAAAGCCGTTCATGGCACAGGACCAGGTTATCTGAGGAGCCGTCTCACCTCCATTATATCAGCCTGCCCCACTCAGTCCAGCAGAAGGGGCATGTTGTGGACCCCACCAGGAATTTCAATTGGCGGGGTCTAGGGAGAGGGCTTTTTCTGCCGTGGCCCCCACTCTGTAGAACAACTTACCACCTGAGGTGCGTTGTGCTCCCACTCTCGTGGCCTTCAGGAAGAGTGTGAAATCTTGGCTATGCCAGAGGGCCTAGGGGCCTGATGGGGGCTCGCATCATTGGAATTGGCTCATGGGTTAATAGATTCTGCCCCCCCCATCTTGAATTTTATAGTCTTTTTATGTATATAGTCTTTTTATATAGTATGATTTTTTAAGCTAATTTAATGTGGATATTTATATTTTTTTACTGTTTTTGATGTTTGATTTTGTGAGCCACCCAGAGTTACCCTCTCGGGGAGATGGGTGGCATATAAATTTAATAAGTAAATAAATAAACAAGAATCTGTCCCACATGTGCTATTAAGATGCCCATTGTACACCCAACAACTCTAACTGTCCTTGTGATCAGGAGGCCATTACCCTTTTCTTGGATGACCACTCTTCAGAAACCTTTAAGAAGGTTGCAAAATTTTTATTAATAGCTATTGCAGTTAGAAGTTGTTTGGTCCCTCCCTCATGTTACTAATTATTAGCTGTTAATTGTTTCAGGATTTTCTTGCAATTTTAAAAAATTCCTTTTTATAGTTATTGTATTGTTGGCCTTTTTCTTGTGTTTGGTCTTGGATCATAAATAAAATTTCAACTGGATTTGATATAACCTCTGCAGAGGTATACAAATGTTATAACAACTGGTTTACTTGTATTAACAAAAGGGAAATGTATTCAGAGGGCCTGGAGTTTCGGTATAATAGTGTGTGTGTGTGTGTGTGTATGCGCACGCGTGCATGTATGTCTGGACAGTTAGACAGATAAACAAGAACCCCCCCACCACCACTGGCAGGGCATGCAAGTGTATATAAACAGAGAGCAAATCCCATCCCATTCCAGCACTGAAGATGTTACCTAGCTGGGTAATGAAACATTTGCAGGAAAAGAACCAAGCTCAGAGAACCCCAAGGACTCCACAGTTCAACCCTGAGCTACACATATTCGCCTCCATTGAAATAAGAACCCAAGAATTATTGACCAATTAATGTTCTAGGTATTTCTGCTAAACTTTATGTCAAGATGCTATTATATAAATTAGGTAACTGAATAGAGATTAATCCCATTCCAGCACTGAAGATGTTACCTAGCTGGGTAATGAAACATTTGCAGGAAAAGAACCAAGCTCAGAGAACCCCAAGGACTCCACAGTTCAACCCTGAGCTACACATATTCGCCTCCATTGAAATAAGAACCCAAGAATTATTGACCAATTAATGTTCTAGGTATTTCTGCTAAACTTTATGTCAAGATGCTATTAGATAAATTAGGTAACTGAATAGAGATTAATGAAATGATTTATAGTACAGAAATACATTTTAGTAAGATTCAAAGTCTGCCAGTTTTTAAAATTTTATATTATTTTAATTGCAAAAAAATTACAATTAATCTTTAACAAACTATTGTATTATTAAAAAACTAATTAGCAATACAGTAATATGATATCACTATTTTATAATAAATCTATAGTTAGAATAGATACCTAATTTATTAAGTTTCCCCCAAAATAAAATAAATAAAAAAGTAAATAATAAAATAAGTGAAAAAATAAAAATCCTACATGAAACATGGGCTCATAATGGAATCAGTACTGTAAATCAGTTTTTATGTAAAAATACTTCTAACATTTTCAAAATCCTACAAAAGGAATATAATTTACTTAGAAAGACTGAATTCCAATACCTACAGTTAAAAATGTTCTCTCATTCAGCATTCGTGCCTGTGCAGCCTCGGAAACACCAGAGTTTTAAAGTTGTTGGAGATGGCTTTTGTGGAAAACAAATCAATACTTTTTTATTACCAAAATTTTAAAAAAAGCAAAAATAAATTTGGATAATATCCAAACAATTTGGAATAGTGGAGTGTTCTATAAAAATCAATGGCTGCAGCTTTAAAAAAAATAGCACATATATTTCTTATGGCTAAAAAATTCAGCTGGTTCAAGAAAAATTGTCTTTAGAGTCTATTGGCACCTCAGAGAATGTTTAAAAGGTTGGATCTCATTATTTTTATGCTGGGGATTTAATAAATTTGAAGGAACTTTGGTACATATCTTATGGACTTGTCCACTTGTAATTCAATATTAGACATTATTTCTATGGTGAACCACATTCTTCAACTGCAGTTAAGAATTTTAAAAGTCAATATTTTGTTAAATTATATCCCCAAAATCTGGAAACTTTCAATCTATGAAGAACTGTAGTGTATGGATCGGCAACAAAAATAATTATGTACTCACTGAAGAGCATCTGTATCCCTGATCCTAAACTATGACTTATTAAAATCTGTCAACTCTGAGACCTAGAATTAGCTTTGTATCAGTGGACAGGCAACATAGGACAAAATGATTCTATACAGTTTAGATTCAATTCATTATTTAAAAACTGAATCATCATTTGGAAAAAATGGAAGAAAGTCGTATAATTTTAGTACCCATCTATATATGTATCCATCTACTTTTTAAAGTGGACTTTTATATACACATACAGTATACATATTTATAAAAATAGGTGAATTAGATATTTAGGTGTTTTGTTCTGTTATCTTGTTTTTTTTTTAATTTAGGGTTTTTCACTTTTTTCCTTCTTTAGATAGTTTAATAGTTTATCTTGTTTCCAAATATATGAGCAGTACCACAAAATATTTGCATGTAGCATTTGATTCGGTTGCTGCTTTTGATTCAGTAAACAGATGTAGGAAATGAACAAGATTAGCCAATGGTGACATAGGTATCTACCATATTTATTTATTTATTTATTTATTACATTTGTATGCCGCCCATCTCCCCCACTGTATTTAGTGCAGAAGCTATTCTAATACAACTATTAAAGCGAGATGTCTATCTGGACTGGTTCTGTGGGAAAATTATCCTGCAAATACTGTTTGAAATAGATATCTGTAGGTGGAATGTCCATTATCTAAGGTCTTTGGAAATCATATTAAATCAGTTCTGCAAAAGGTTAGTGGGATCCCCAGAGAAAATCTGACCAACGTTCTGCAAGCTGAACTGGGCTGCAAGAGTTGATTTATAATTTAGATGCTAAGAGGAATTAAGAATTTCATGGAGACAACTAAGTTCTTGCTTTGTTAGGGTGGATTGAAAAAGACTGAAAGAACTATGTATTTAGCTTCTAGCTCAACAGATTCCAATTGTACAAAGCCTCTGACCTTGTGATCATTTTCAAACTGAGGATTTATCACATTATCTTTTATATTGCTTGCTATAATTATCAATCTGTGTGAAATATATTGAAAAGAGGCAGGTTACCTCTCAGTTCAGTTTGGATGAAGGAAAACTATATTTTCCTTCTCCTGATTTTAATGAGGGTACATTGTGAATATACTCTTATTTCACTAGCAGCACAAACCATTTGTTTAAGTTATGTAGACGTTAAATGGTAGTATGCAAAGGGCCACTGTTGAATTAAGGTCTTAGTTGCATTTTAGATTTTTGTAAGGTTAATGGATGTAATGGCCTAACAGTGCACCTGTTTAATAAGTTATTGTGTATTGTGAAATTTTATTCAAAACATTAATCTCTGTGCCTCCTTTGCATAAAAAGCAGTTCAGGTATTAGAAATGCTGAACAAATGAAATAAAATGTCATAGTTTATGGCAGACAGGAAAGTGCATAACTAATATAAGGAATAAAATATTGTAGTGTGAAAACCAAGACAGAGAATATCCAAATCAATTTCTGCTTAACAATGGTGTATTTATATCATACATTATTTCATCTTAAGGAATTGCTCAGGTACGGAACTGTGACTAGCTCATTTGAACATTCTAGTGGCCCTCATTACAAAAATATCAAGTGCAATTAAAAGTTCCACTCAAGAAACTTTTCTATGGACACCTGATTAATTCTTATACTAATTCTGAGCATATGACATATGTCATTAATGTCAAATGCATTAATCACCTGATGAGAATGAAGCAAGATAGATTTTTATAACTAATTCCCATATCTTCCAACCTGGTGATTGCTTAGAATAGAGTTATCCATGACAGCCAACTTTCTGCTGGTTCACATTCAATATAAAATATTGAAGCTTTTCAATACGGATGAAAAATATTTGTTAGACTCATAATTTCTGTTCACTGTAAATTGTTTTTGAGAAATACAACATAACTATGGAGAAACAACCTCTCATATTTAATAAAGTACAATTGCTTATCTATAATTTTAACCTCAGCTCTTAGTACATTTAAAGTCTGCTATGTGTTAATGCCAAATTACCTTTATAATTTGTAGTTGAACACCTTCATCTGTCTGTGGACCTTGGAAGCAGCCACATATTGTTTCAATAATTCTATCAATCAATTTTTTCCCAGGAGCAGTACTATCTGGAGCATTACCAGTCAAATGCCCATAGGCTATAAGTTTCTGGGAGTAAAGCAAATGAACAACAGTGAGCAAGCAAAGCTAATAGATTATATATTATGTTTTGCAGCCATGGAAATAATTATCTAAATACCACAGTAAGCTTCACATTTTTAAATAAAAAATCAGAGCCATTTAGGAATAAGTAGGACCTTGTGTATTTTCTTCTCCCCAGTTCTCAGTGATCATCTTTTTCAGACAACTGAATTAGGGCATATTAATGTTTCAGATATTGGCTTGAAATGGGTTCATAAAACTAGCTAGAAAACAAAATTATGATTAACAGTAATAATAATTTACCTGACTTTTGACATCATAATAATACGCTCACAAACCATAAAGTCACTGTTATGTATGGGGAAAAAAAAGATAGTTCACAACACTTAAAAGTACTGCTTCACTGTGAACTAGACAATTATCTTTACAGATCCCAACTATACCACTCAATTCTTAAGAATATATATTTTTAAAAAATTGACAAAAATGTATTTTCCCCCAAATTTAATTTTTATAAAATGTTTAAGTCAGATTTTTTTTACATTAATAACAGGATAAAATCAATCAAGGAAAAAAAACTTCCATAAGAAAATAACATTAAAAATAGCCAATAATTTAATAGCATATATTTCATGAAATATAGATCCATACAGACCTGCAAACAATCTAACGATGTACTAACAATTCTGGGACACTTGGATTGGCATGCCAATTCAAATGGCAAGAAGTACTTGTCTGCCTCAATAAAACTGGTCTTTGATTTCACTGGTGGAAGAGTGCTTGAACCAGGTTTTGCTTCTCCATGAGGTGGACTAAATAAAATGGCAGTAAAATAAATGAGTTAAATATGAACACAGATATAGCTACAGCTATTATCATATAATACTTTATGTTCAGTTGTACATTTAAACTGTAAAACATTTATCTTATTAAAACTGACACTTCAAGTCACTGACAAAAGTAAATGTAATGTTTTGCAACAAATAGAGAAACAGATTTTACTAAGGATTTACTGAGGACTATCTAACATTAGTTAGAGCCAGCTACATAGCTGAACTGTTGTGTTGAATGATGTGAATACGGGAGAGCTTCTGTTTTGGAATACTGATAAAGAAAAACAAATGCTTTCACTTTTATACAAATGTCTTTTAACCTAGAATTAAATGTGTGTTGTATTAATATTTATGAGATAGAAAAAAATTAATTAATAAAATTGTAAATCCTCCGTAAAAAGTAGAATGCTGCTTCATATGTTCAAGACACATGTAAAAATGAATGAGATGTAACATTTAGTTCACTGCAAAAATAATGATTTTCATGATGATCAGTACCTACAGGCATTAGGAGACTCATTTGTCTTAAGTAATTTTATAACTTTATAAAGGAAATAAATGAACCAGGTCAATACAGGATTTCCTTCAGACAGACCCATAAAAAAGTATCTCCTTTTTTAGGTAATTTTCTGGTAGCAGGATGGGGAAGGGTTGTAGTTCCCTTTGTTTTTAACCATGCTTGATTTTTTGTGGAAAAATGAAAAATGTGTTCAAAGATTTTGTGCTTCTTAATTAGGACACTCACAGCTAACATGCTTGATCATTTTTCCTAACTAATCTGAAGCCAAAGCTATTAAAAATTATATGCTCTGAAATTTTAAATATTTTTCTTTATGTTTTCACAGAACTGGAAAGGTTCAATTGACTTACAGCAAAACTCGCATATAAACTAAGCCAGGACTTTTAACTATGGTTTGGGAAAGAAGCCACAGAATCCAAGCTATTATGGATTGATATGCATATCATACTAAACCAGAAAAATCACATTATGGGTTATTGTTTATATATGTACTAGGCCAGGCCTGTCTCATGAAGTTTCTGTACTTTAGACATAATAATATAGTGCTGAAAAGGTAGTTTGTGAATCCTTCTCCTTAAAAAGTAGAATGAAAGGCAGACTTAATCTCCATATGAAGTCAGATATTTGTGCTTATAATCATCTCATAAACTTAAGTATTCATACTTAATAAGGAAAAATTACCTTTGTTTTCCAGTTTCTGTTTTTATTTCCTCTGGAAAAAAGCAAATAAAACCTGTTTTATAAGAATTATTAAACTTTAAAATAAAACTAATTCCCACATCTCATATATATTTATATATTTCTTAATCAAATGTTACATTTCCAATATTGATAGAATATTGATAGACCACAGAACATATCAGAATCTACGTAAAGGGGTTCCTGTAGAGTACAATCCAGTCCTCCTGGAGTATAATGTAATCCAAAATCATTCATGAGCTGTAAGTAAAATAAATAAAAAACTGATCTCACTTTTATAGATAATAAATAAGGATTGAACCCAGTCGACTCATAAGACATATGCTTTTGTAGAAGTAATGGAATCAACTTCATGTTATATTTATCAAGTGCAGTGAATCTGTACTATGTTAATTAAGAAGTCAGGATAAAACAAAATTCAGATAGACACAGTTTCCTTTTCTTTCTGAACAGAGTGTTTTCTGATCTCTGAAAGTTAAGTGCATTCAGTTGTGCTTATCTACAAGAAATACTCATAACAGAGATAATCTATTACTTTTCATATTGATATACTATCCACATGATATTCATTTTTATGCTAAACAGATTAGCAATGAGAATTTTCTAGTCCACTAGACAACTTGTGACCCATTGGGTCATTGTTTCAGAGATATTTCCTTACCTAAAAAGAGAAACAGAATGACCAAGGACAAAAAAACAGTGGGAGTGTGAGAGACTTATGACTTGCTGCCAGCTTCCCCATTAACTTTGCTTGTGGGAAGCTGGCAGGGAGTGTCAGAAATCTCCCTCCCTCCCTCCTCGGCTGACCCATGGAACTGCCTGCCACTTTGCTGGGGGGAGGTGGAACAAAGGGAGCCTTGGACTGTGAGGAAAACTGCACCCTCGCTCCCCATTCTGGCGTGTTCCCAAGGGCCCCCTCCCTCGAGGGAGGAAGAGGGCTCACCCATTGACCAAAGGTGCCCCCCAACCAGCCCTATCTTGCCAGGAAGCATCCAAGTTGCTTCCTCATCCTTCCCTCAACATCTATCACTGTTAAGAGATTTCAAATTTCTGCCTCATTTCCAAAGCAGCCAATTGCTGCTCACCCGTTGGGCCTTGCCATCAGCCAGTTGGGCATAGGGGACAGAGGGAGGTGGGAAAGAGGTTGGGGATATACCTCTGATTATGGTATTGTCTCCAGTAACTTTTGCTTCGTGAAAAGGGTTGCCAAAGGTTACTTAAGTAATCCAGAGTGCAAAACATTTCAAATTAAGAAACTAAACTTAGCTTTATACTACCCCCCAAAAAATTACTAAATAAATAAAATAAAATAAAATAAAAAAGCAAATTATCCTATAAGGTAAGGGAATATGGAGAAAGAGGATCAATCCAATGGCATCCATAGTACAATTCCTCATATTAGTTTTTACATATTTGTGAAGATCTAGGAATACATGACAACAAATAGTTCTAAAGTTTGCAAAAATCTAAGAAAGTTTCTGCAGTTTGGGATGCTTATACAGTTTGGGATTCTCTGTGTTCACAGATGACATCATAATTTGAAGAGGTACAGCTGGTAGTGACAAATGAAACAACAAAAAGCATAAAACATAAAGTAGTCACCTATAAATGTTGGTAATAATAAATCCCTAGAATTAACAGCAAAAGTTCCATCTGTATATTATGCCTCATCTTATTTATACATTTTTTGGGTCAACATTTATTATCAAGAGTTCACAAAATTTGCCTGTTCAACCAAAAATGTGTGGTTATTAGGCTGACTCTCCCCTAAGGAACAATGACACTTCCAAAATGCATATCGAAGTCACAATGTCTTGCTCTTTTCATCAGCTTTAAGCCTGGAACAAGAAGTAAGATTCTTCAGAGCTAGAGAAAGAACAATGTTCAATATTCCTTTTCCCCTGAGAGATAATCCAATGCAAATGTTAAGCTTTCCCCCCCAAATCTTGCAGATGATTTCCATTTCAGGAAGGAACTCATCCTGCTTTTCATACCCATTTATTCTGACTATTAATCATACTGATGCTTATTAACCACACTGATATTGGTCCTGTCTCTAATCTTTTGTATATTTTTTGCTTCAAATAATTTTTATGTTTCATAAAACTTAAAACACCTAAGATTATTTAGAATAAAAGTTACAGTAGAAGACAAGCAGCCCAAGCCTGAAAGCCCTCAGTTCAGACCAGTTTGCTGCATTTTACATTATACTGAACTCTTATTTATTATATTATCCTTATTTAAAAGAAGAGGGGATTATATAAATACATTTCAGGTGATACTATCACAGTGCATTTACTTATCATCAGGAAATCCCTGAGCTATACACTAGATTGGGGGACTTGAAAAAAATACCCTGAAGAAGGTAATGCCAAATCACTCCCGAAGTATCTCCAAAAAAACTGCATGAACATCTCAGGGGTCAAGCCTGATGCAAAGATTAACATTTACTAATATTAAGAATAAACTTGGGAGTTGGATAGTACATTCATATGTGTAAATAAATAAATGCTTTTTCCTAGGGATTGTCAACTATAAAATTTTCAGATCTGATTGGCATTAGATTGATTGCCTAACTCACATTCATTACATTATTGATTGTTCAACTGCATTTTAAAATGGGACATTTTCTATGGATAAAAAATAATGAAAAAATGCCATCTTTTATTGATTCAAAACAATATTTATTTATTGTATTTATATAGCACATAGTCTTTGGCTTATGACAATTGGGACTGGAATTTCTGTCGCTAAGCGATGTGGTCATAAAACAAGATGTCACGTGACTGCTTCACTTAGCAATGGCAATCCTGGCACTTCCCATTGCCATCGTTAAGCAAATTCTACCCTGACACTCCCCATTGCCATCGTTAAGCAAATTCCACCAATCATTAGCTGAGGACCCACCTCAATCCAAGCTGTTCTGGCCTTGGTCCCTTCCAGCCTTGAGCCTCAGTAAGGTAAGGGATTGCCTCCAACTCCCCCTACCTGCCTATCTCCCCACCATCTCTGCCCTTCTGGCCACCCTGCAGGGTGACAAGCAGCCCCAGAACCATGCGACTCTGGAGCTTCTTGGTCCTCCTTTTCCCTTCGCTTGCATGCACTGCATCCTCCTTACCTCCTTTACTCGCACACACACATGCACTGCGTCCTCCTTCCTTCCTTTGCTTGCTTGCACCAGCACCCTCCTTCCCTCTTTGCTCACTCACACACATGTACTGTACCCACCTTCCCTCCTTCACTCGTTTGAGGACTCTCCAGGGGTGTTTCTGGCATGTGCTCTGCAGCTCATGTTGGAAGCTGCTGGCTGTTAATGAGGCTTTCTCCTTCCTCCTGCAAAGCCTCAGAGCCACAGCATAGCATGAAGGGAGGCACAGTGTGTGCAAGCAAGTGAAAGGGGAAGGAGGGCGCTGATGTGTGCAAGTAAAGAAGAGATGGAGGGCATGTGCAAGTGAAGGGGAAGGAGGATGCTGGTGCACGCAAGTGAGTAGAGGGTGCAGTGCATGTATGCGAAAGAGGGAAGGAGGGTGTTGGTGCTTGTGTGTGAGTGAGCGACCGAAGGGGGAAGGAGGGCACTGGTGTGTATGAGCGAGCAGAGGGGAAGGAGGTGCTGGTGCCTGTGAGTGAGTGAAGGAGGGAAGGAGGGTGTGGTGCATGCCTGTGAGCGAAGGAGGGTGCTGGTGCATGTGAGTGAGCAAAGGAGGGCACTGGTGCATGCAAGTAAGCAAAGGGGGAAGGAGGGCACAGTGAGTGCATGCGAGTGAAGGGAGGAACGAGGGTGTGGTGTGTGCAAGCGAGCGAGCAAAGAAAGGCCAATGTGGGTGGGGGAGACTTACCAGAGTGACTTGCGACCTCCCCTGCCTGCTTTCCCATTGACTTTGCTTGTGGGAAGCTGGCAGAGAAGGTTGCAAATGGCAATCATGTGATCGCGGGGTACTTGGCAATTGCCAAGCTCTGAGATTGTGATTATGTGACCACAGGGGTGTTGCAATGGCCATAATTTTGGGGACCAGTTATAAGTCCATTTTTTCACACCCTCGTAACTTCAAACGGTTGCTGAATGAATGGTCATAACTCAAGGACTACCTGTATTAAAGGACATAATACTTAAAATATGCAAACTCAGAATGAAAAAACCTTTCAAAGTATCATACATCAGTTTCCTTCCTTTCATCATCATTAAAAGTATGTTTCAGCTAATGCTTCAAGTTTGATAAGTCATGGGGAGTGAACCTGTTAGAATTTCCTTAAATATATAATGAGATGTTAAGTGTGCCCACATTAAAGAATTATTTGGCTTCCCTAATACAGTATAGTCAGACAGCCATAGTAATTTTGTCAACTTATGCACTTTCTTGTTGAAAACCTATATTATGTAATTACTTCTGATGTTTTGGTTAAATGCTTGGTATTATTTTGCTGCTTTACAAGTGAGAAAAATTACTGGGGTTGTACATTTTGCAAAAAAGGAATAGTGGGCTTTTAAAAAAATGAGGATATCATAGTATCTCACAATGTTTGGGAAACAAAAGTGAAGAACCAGAAAGGAACACCACCACCAAAGCCAATATAAAAAGAGGTTCTAGGGCAGCAGCAAAACTTCAGCTATTCTCCAACAGACAATAAAATATTGAATTTGCAAGCAAATTGTATGTACGTATATATATGTATGTGTATATATGTATGTGTGTGTACACACACACACATAAACAGCATAAAGAGACCTATCTGTAAACAACTACATAGTCTATACTGAGATTATCTGACCTGAATGTTTTGTGCATTTTTAAAGAAAAGGCCCATCGTTTTATACAAATACTTATGTTACAGTTTCTTATATAACCCTAAATCAAAACAATTCACACATTGTACCAGGCCAAACCCAAATCAAATGCATTATGGTTTAGTGCAGGACATCTGGCTGATATGATGGAGTGCTGAACTTATTTCTGAGCTAAATGGAAATCTCCTTATCTTCTGACTGCTTTTCTGCCCAACTGATGAATGGGAAGC